TCATCAATCAACAAGCTAGTATTGCTCAACAAAATACCACAGAATTTCATAATCACACACTATTCCTCGACAACCAGTGACAGCAGCTCGAATCCCAGATATCTGATCTGGAAAAAACAGTTGCAGCTCGAACTGCAGAAATCAAAGAGCTTGTCGAAGATTATTATCAGAATATCGAGCCACAGATAGCTACCTTGGACGAATGTGATACTGAAATTCACAAAACGGTCGATGCACTCAAGAAGTCACATGAATGATGTTACAGTATATTAGCACTTCCCTATTCGGAAGGCCCTACTGTAACTGAACTCAAGCAGCATCACCAAAGCCAGCCACAAAAGCCATGCGACATCATTGATGATCAGCTAAGCGCTCAAGGATCTTATCGATTATAGATGCCAATCACCACATCACGTGACCCACAAGGTAGCGCCCCATCAAGCACCCCTGGCACATGACCTTAAGAGACACCCAAGCACATGACATCCTGATAGCCGCTCAATAGGCTCGAGCATAGACACAGGACACTGAGGTCTGGATTGGTGAGGAGGTCGGCCTTATACCTCATGGCTGAGATGGCACCCCAACGGAATGCCGCACGGACCATGACCTTATCTATAAGTCTACGGTCCACCAATGACCACATAGTATTTACTAGTAGGTACATTGCTATTGACCGTAGCACATTATGTAATATGCACATGTGGCTTGCCAGGACCTCAGTAGGTACACCATAGTTAGAGTGACTGGGGTCCAGCCCCACATGTATATATATGTCCTATGTGACTGAGGTAGCCCTCAGTCTTATTCATCTATTTCTCACATCCATCATGGTTTGCCACAACCCTTCATCCCTGAGTCAGCTCGACAGTGAGGCCTATCGCCACTCACTTGTCCTTAGCCTATCACTGGCTGATAGGGAGCTCGCCACCCTTTTATGTTGGATCTTGAGTCACTGCTCCAAGTGAGATCCTGGGGCCTTACAAGGCACTTAGTATAAAGGTCACCCATGAGCGGGTCATGTGTGAAGCACCCACAGATGTCATGTCACGTGTGGCAAAGCTTAGCCATGACATTTGAATAAGACTCACCAACCTGCCTTCAGCCTCAGGCTGACTGCGGGGAGTGACCTGAGGATCCTTTGAGGACCAGGCACTTTTTGACCTGAAGCATGTCATTAAACTGCATCATTTTGCTCAGAGATATTCTGCCCAAGAGCAGGGCTTTTTCCACATCACTTCCTCCACTATTCTGATGACTCTACCCACTGTAAGCCACTCACTGCCTATAAGAGGTATCAGCACATGTTGCTTCCTTCACACCTCCATGAGGGTGAACAGCCAGGAACCATTCAGAGTTCGCTGGGGTCAAGATCTAGGAGTGGGTACATGGATTGAAGGATCTTTGGGATCATTAGACAAGGCGTAGCATATCTGTGTCAATTATAGGAATATACTCTAGGGCCCCTGATAAAGCCATCATGCATCAAGCGATTTTGCCTAAAGCTGGTCCACTCAAAAGCTTCGCCCAGCATGAAAAACACTTCAAGTTATTTGTGACCGTGTATCCGAGGACCTATGCGCATGTCCTCGATAGAAGAAAAATAAACTGCGAGCGATCATTCTATATCTTGATGAAGATCAAAAGGTGGGCCTAGAACAAGTCCGAAGACCTCAGCCAAAACCCGTTATCAATGTAGATCGAAGAATCTATATAGGATAGGGGTCATACATCCTGCATGCTAGCCTGGAATGCTACCAGTTTAAACCTTTGCATGCAAAAGAGTGTGTCTAGTCAGCACACCTCCTGTTCAAGAACATTCTGCGAAATGAACAGCGCAAGTCGAGAAGAACTCATCCAAGCACACGGTAGTCTTTTGACTATTAACTGTGGGTGGATAGAGTAGAAATTCGAACAACGACACAAAGAATAGTTCAACACTGGAACAAATGGGGATACTATGGGAAACATTCATTCCAAGTCTTACGTGATAAAAAACATGCAACCAAGGTGCACGTTGAATTGAAAAACTGCTGCTCATCACGTTTGAAATGTGACGCTATTGTGCATCTTTGTTCAAGCAATCTACCACTCAAGCAACCCGATTTGTGGTCCAAAGAGTGGATCCTGGCACTTGACCACAGGAGCCATGCCAGAAGACCTAGTGCAAGTCAGAATAAACTGCAAACCTGCTAAACACAGCCAATCTTTTGATTCCCCCCACCCACCCTATATTGTTTCTTATTCATTCTCTCCCTTGGGTCACCCCTCACACGTCACCCAGGAGTGCATGGCTGTGGATGATTAGACCCAGGTGGGTCTTGCCTAGTGCCGGCTCACTCCCAGAGAAGAGCTTGGCAAGGAGTGGATAATATAGGTATATAGGCATGTGTGTAACGTAGTGAAGCACAATGACCTGGTCTCTACGGGTGACCATTAGGCATAGGCCAAAGGTCACGCTCCTCTGAACCTGTGAGGCAGATTCATGCTATGTCAGACATGTGTCGACTAGCATAGAACTATGGCATTTGGATGGGAGAACCTATACCACCCTTGACCATTGGGAAAAGGATATAAGATCTTGTAAGGCCGAAGGGCAAGCTGCACACATAGAGTGTAGCAGTGCATCTCCCCTCCCTGAACCTTCAAGGCTTATCCACAGAGAGGCACGAAACTGGCTGTAACCATTGGGAAAGCCATAGGCTGGTTACATAGCCACAGTTCATATAGTCGGATCTGAAGTACCACTTTTAGCTCTAATTTTACGCCTCAAATCAACCAGTCGAGTCATACGAAAAGACCTATGAACTCGTGGACAAGATGGATCATGCAAGAGTTTTGCCATATACCACTTAGCATCTTATCACATCCCAACAACCATTCACCACACTACGCACGAACATAGTCACTGGTTAGATCAAAAATAGAAAGAAAATAGGTGCACCTTTCCAATAAGAAACTGCAGCTTATGCACCACACAACCCTGATATGGTGCTGTAACAAGCTGAGAGCCTCCTAAGCATGAGGTTAAACTGCAGATCCTAGGTCCTATGTGCAAGACCAAAGGAAAAACTGTGAGCACCACCTCAAGCAAGCAACTTGAAGGGATCTCAAAGGGTTTAAGTGCAGCCCTATAGGAATGAAAAACACATCAAAGGCCAGATCCTTTCACCAGCATTGATACTGGTCTTGGAGACATTAGAGGCACCTCCGTGCTCGTGAGGTTGAAACTGTCAGCCCAACCACGATGTATGTCAGAACAAACTACCAGCACCAGCATGGCCAATTTCCAGCCATAGCGATCCCAAAGACCTATGCACAAGTCTACAGGAATAAACTGCGAGCACTCGACCTCTGCACAAGTCATTAAACTGCGAGCACACTGATCAACCCTGCCCTTCCACCCATCTGCTCAGTCAGCCTTCACAGCATCTGTTCATCAAGGGCGATGAACCATGAAGTGGGGGTGATGTCACAGTATATTAGCACTTCCCTATTCAAAAGGCCCTACTGTAACTGGACTCAAGCAGCATCATCAAAGCCAGCCACAAAAGCCATGCGACATCATTGATGATCAGCTAAGTGCTCAAGGATCTTATCGATTGTAGACACCAATCGCTGCATCACATGACCCACAAGGTAGCATCCCATCAAGCACCCCTGGCACATGACCTTAAGAGATGCCCAAGCACATGACATCCTGATAGCCGCTCAATAGGCTCGGGCATAGGCATGGGACATTGAGGTCTGAATCGGTGAGGAGGTCGGCCTTATACCTCATGACTGAGATGGCACTCCGACAGAATGCCGCATGGACCATGACCTTATCTATAAGTCTACGGCCCACCAATGACCACATAGTATCTACTAGTAGATACATTGCTATTGGCCGTAGCACATTATGTAATATGCACATGTGGCTTGCCAGGACCCCAGTAGGTACACCGTAGTTAGAGTGACTGGGGTCCAGCCCCACATGTATATATATGCCCTATGCGACTGAGGTAGCCCTCAGTCTTATTCATCTATTTCTCACATCCATCATGGTTTGCCACAACCCTTCATCCCTGAGTCAGCTCGACAGTGAGGCTTATTGCCACTCACTTGTCCTTTGCCTACCATTGGCTGATAGGGGGCTCACCACCCTTTTATGTTGGATCTTGAGTCACCGCTCCAAGTGGGACCCTGGGGCCTTACAAGGCACTCAGTATAAAGGTCACCCATGAGTGGGTCATGTGTGAAGCACCCACAGATGTCATGTCACATGTGGCAAAGCATAGCTGTGACAAATGATTATGTACATGGGCATCTTTGCAAGGAAGGAAAGCAGGGCAGGGTGGTGATGATGTCACAGAAAGGAACGACGATGATGAGCCATCATTTGGTCACAAGGTAAAGGTGTAAAAATTGACCAGCCAGAAAAATACGGTGGTAACAAGGATGGAGTCAATCTTGACGATTGGCTCGAACAGGTCATGCTCTGGTTGAAATATACTGGACATACCAAAGATGAGTCCAAGATTATGTCTACCCTTTTGCTCCTAAAAGGAGGAGCACGTGAATATATGTGACATTGGATCACTGAAATAAATGAGAATAACAAGGCACCAGGAACTTGGGCAGAGTTTGTCTCTGAACTTCACATGACATACAAATCTTTGGACAAGGACGACAAGAAGCGAATGAAGTTAGAGGCCTTCGTCAAGAGGGACCATTGAAACTTCCATCCAAAGGCAACTGGCACTGGCTTCTCAGATCAAGACTTGATCGAGAAGATCAAGAAGCATATTCTGGAGAAAACGTGGCTGCTTATGCTAGCAGACACACCTAAGAACAAATGGCCCAAGAAGTGGACCGAGTTCCTTACATTCATGCTCCAGATTTTTACATTACTACAATGAGAAGGCCATCACGCTAAGGCCAAAACCAAGGATTCAAATGCTATGGAGGTTGACACAGTCGGGAAGAAAGGGAAGAGTAAATTGGGCAAAGCGTGAAGCATGCAGGACAACAAGTTGATTTGCACCAACTGCAAGAAGAACAAGCCAACGTTCTTCAAATCGTCAAAACGTTTTAGCAAATATTGCACCGATTGTTTCAAATTGGACCATGTCAAGAAGCAGATCAAGAAGGAGAAGGAGACAGCTGTGAAGAAGAAGGATGGAAAGAAGAAGGATGATGACAAAAAGAAGTCAAGGTTGTCCTCGACATGACAGGTGGCATCTGATTCTGCTTCATCAGATGCAGAGAGTGAAAGCTCTGACACTGAAGAAGAAAAGAAGCTGAAGAAAAAGAGCTCTTTCTCTAAGACTAAGGGGAAGGGTAAGGAGACAGCTGCGCACATCAGTGACTGCGGCATCCACTCGGAGAGTGAGCCTGTAGCATTCGAGTCAGATGAAGAAGATTTGGCCGAGATCCTCTCAAGGCTCAGGCGCCTGAGGGCCAATGGATCCAGTTCATCAAGGAAGGTGGGAGAGGGCTCTTCAAAAAGGATCTGAAGGGTTTTCTGAAAGGGAATCTGTAGGCAGCTTGTCAGAGTTCCCAGAACATTATATAAGACCTGTACATTTAGCACCTGGATCAGACGCCTCTGTAGATCATCGCAACGCAGAGGATGATAATGTAACAATAAAAAATTCATCTCCGAATCTATCATCATTCTATTTACCAGTTACATTATGGGTGTATGGCAAGAAATCGAGTGCCGAAGCTTTAGTCAACTCAGGAGCATATTCCATGTATATCAGCAAGCGATTCATAAAAAACAATTGAATTGCAACCTCCAAGCTTAACACAACATACAAAGTGTACAATGCTGATGGATCCCAAAATAAACATGGAGAAATAACTGACTATGTAAAGGCATACATAAAAGTCAGAGATCATGGTTCTACCCACCATCTGCTAGTCACAAACATACAGAAATTAAACATGATCATTGAGATGTCATATCTACATCAGCACAATCCAGAAATCAATTGGCAAGCTGGAGAATGAAAATACTCACGATGCCTGAGTACATGTTACCACCAAAGGCTTCGTAAAAAAACAACAAGCCATTGCAAGAGAGGAAGCTGAAGAAATCTCGCAACATATACAAGGAATGGCAGATGAGGAGTCAACTGCATTTAAAATGTTTAATGGGCACAACATTGATGCAGTAAATCCTATCATTTTGTGAGTTGAAATGGACGACCCCGAAGCTGAACAAATAGCTCACATGATCCTCTCACTAGCAGACTGCGACTATGCTAAACCAGAGAAAAACCTGAATGGAGCAGCACATCAGTCAAACACTGGCAGCCCAGAAGATCAGGTTATTAATGAAGTAGAGTCTTGGGAAAAATTAGTACCAGATTATCTACATTCATTCAATGATGTCTTCTCCAAGAAAGCATCTGAAAGGATGCCAACTCAAAAGACTTATGATCATGCAATCAAGCTTGAAGAAGACCATGAATTACCACGACCCAGCAAACTTTATCCTATGAATCCAGAGGAAAGGAATTCTCTAGATTCATGGATCAACGAAAATCTAGCAAAAGGTTACATTCGAAAATCGAAATCACCTATTGCAGCCCCTGTATTCTTTGTCAAAAAGAAAGACAGCATGCTAAGACTGGTACAAGACTATCAAAAACTTAATGCTATAATCAAAAAGAACTGCTTTCCTATCTCACGAATAAGCGAGCTTATCGATCAGCTCAGCAATGCGTCAATATTCACCAAGTTGGATCTCCGTTGGAGATATAACAATGTTCACATCCGTAAGGGTGATGAATGAAAAACAGCTTTTGTGACATATCGTGGGTTATATAAGGCAACGATTATGTTTTTCGGTTTTTGTAACACACCAGCCACCTTCCAGCATATGATGAATGAGATTCTAGATGATCTTATTTGGAAAGGTCATGTGATCGTCTACCTCGATGACATTCTAATCTTCACAAACGATCTGAAACAACATCAGAAGATTACAAAAGAGGTACTTAAGAGATTACGGGACAACGACCTTTTCACCAAGCCAGAAAAGTGCTTTTTTGAACAGTCCTCGATTGAGTACTTAGGAATGATTATCTCTAAAGGTGAGGTTCACATGGATCCTCAAAAGGTTGCAGGTGTACTCGACTGACCCAAACCCAAAAAGGTTAAGCAAGTATGTACAGGCTTTCCTTGGGTTCGCTAATTTCTATCGTCGATTCATTGAAGGATTTGCCAAAAGGTCTCGACCACTCAATATCCTTACACGGAAGGATCAGAAATGGGTATGGGGTGAAGAACAGCAACAGGCATTTGATGCGCTTAAGCATGCCTTTACTTCGGCTCCAATTCTGGCACTACTGAATGATACTCACCCATTCTGGTTAGAAATGAATTCTAGCGATTTTGTTACTGGCGCATGCCTTGAACAACTCAAAGACGATGAGTTGTGGCATCCAATCACATTCTACTCAAAAAGCCTCAATGAGGCTGAGCGAAACTATGAAATATATGATAAAGAGATGCTCGCAACCATTCAAGCCTTGGAGGAATACCGACAATATCTTGAAGGTCATTCGCTTCCACTAGAAATATGGTCTGATCATCAGAATTTAACTCATTACAAAAACTGATGAGACGGCAAGCTCGATGGTCACTTTACCTCACACAGTTCAACATTCAACTACATCACAAACCAGGAAAATCAATGCATCACACCGATCCTCTGTCCAGGAGGCCAGATCATGAAGAGGGGGTAAATCTTGATAATTCTAATAAAACTTTGCTCAAGCTGGAATATTTCGTGATTAAAGCTATTCAACATACCCATCTCACAGTCGTCACAGATCATGATTTGGTGGACAAGATCAAAAAGGCACTACAAGATGACAATGTGAACAAATCATATCAAGATCTACTCAAGAAAGGACAACGAGAGTTCTCAAAAGGACTCGAAGACTGAAACTTCGAAAGTGGGATATTACTATACCAAGGCAAAGTCTACGTGCCAAAAGCAGATAATAAGGAATCGCTTAGATGAGAAATCATCCAACGTCATCATGAAGCTGCCAGTGCAGGTCATCCTGGAAGATGGAAGACATATGAGATGTTATCTCATAATTACTGGTGGTCAGGAATGTCCACTTACGTCAAAAGATATGTTGGTTCTTGCGATTTTTGTTAACACAACAAGAACATTAATTAGCCAAAATACAGAGAATTACAGCCAAATTAGGTTCCAACAGAACCTTGGAAAATTGTCTCTGTTGACCTAATCACTCAATTACCAGAATCCCATGGATTCAACGCAATCATGGTAGTTGTCGATCGTTTGACCAAAAGAGCGCACTTCTTTGCAATCACCAATGAGTTCTCTGCATCAGATCCTGCACGTACCTTCTACAAGAGGGTATGGACACAGCATGGTCTTCCGAGACAGATTATCTCAGATAGAGGTACTCAGTTTGCAAGCGCATTATTCTAGGAAATATGTAAACTCCTTGGGATAGAATCTGCAATGTCTTCAGCTTATCATCTGGAGACCGACAGTCAAACTGAAAGAACAAACCAGTCACTAAAGCAATATCCTCATATTTATACTGACAGACACATGGAAGATTGGAGTACACTACTGCCAACTGCCGAATTCGCCTACAATAACCAGGCTTCTGAAGCCACTAAGAATTCACCATTCTTTGTCGAATATGGCAGACATCCATGTGCAAAACCAACAATAATGGACTCTATAAAACATGATACACTAGATTCCATAATGCAGGCACGAGTAGAAGTGCAGGAGCAAGCGAAGGCTGCCATTCTATTAGCAGCCGAATGCATGAAATGGTACTACGATCAATCTGTACGACCTGCACCTTTCAAAGTTGGAGATCAAGTACTACTCTCCACTAAAGATTGGCAGACATCGGGGGTCAAATTGGCACAATGGAGAGATGGACCATTTGAAATCGTAGAAAAACTAGGACCAGTCATCTACAGACTCAAAATGCTGCAACAACACGGCATTCATCCAGTTTTTCATGCGTCCAAGCGCATGCTCTACCATGAAGATGAAATACCTGGCTGCACACTCAGACCCCGTCCTCCTATCAAAAAGAAGACTGGCAAAGCATGGGAAGTCAAATACATAGTTGACTCTCGTGTCATTTGTGGCAAACTTCAATATTTGGTGCATTGGAAAGGCTATTTCAAGGCTGAAGAGACTTGGGAACCCACTGCAAGCTTGAAGAAATCTCTGCGTCTTATCAAGGAATTTCACAAGAAATATCCAGACACACCCCAACCAATATCTCTTATTGATACAACTCCAATCGATGGCATTTTTCCACCCCAGAGAAAAGGTCAAATCTATGACCCCGCCGCCAATACCATTCACATATATGATCAGGATAGAGATGATTGGGATACTTCTAGAGATCTTCAAATCACATTAGATAATCCAAATGCACAAGCGCCAAAATATGCACATGATGACGATGCTGGAATGGATTTAGCCACATCAGAACCAACAACCATCCGAGCACACTCGCGAGGATTGGTGTCCACAGGACTTCATTTTACAACACCTCAAGGAACCTATGGTCGAATTGCACCACGGAGTGGTTTAGCTGTCAAAGGAATCAATGTAGGTGCTGGTGTAATCGATAGAGGATACACAGGCGAAATTAAGATTTTGCTGATCAATAATACCAATGATGACTTCACAGTCAATTTGGGCAATCGTGTCGCTTAACTTAATTATTCGTATTATCATCCCTGTTATTTCATTAGTAGACTACCTCAAACTATCAGATTGAGGACACCGTAGATTTGGTTCAACCGATGATAATTATTTTCAGAAATCACGCAAAAAGCCAGATTCAGGATGAACTGTCTAGAAGGGGGGGTACTGTCACAGATTTTCACATTTTCAACTCTGCACATGACCAAGACATTATATGACACCAGCGCTAGGCTGTCCAGAAAGGAACGAACTGATACATAAAGTACTGACAGTCTAAGTGCCCTGGAAGTCCAGGTCTAGTCACGTGACATATTATGTGATATCCATATATGTGACAAGTGATGCAGGTATTAGGTAAGCCTAACTTATACAGTAATATCATCCCACACAGAAGCAACAGTTGGACTCTGGAAGAATCCTATGAAGGCTACCCATGCCACCGGAGTTATGTCTTTAAGAGGATATTAGTTCACATACATGAGGTAGATAGATGCCATGCCACCGGTGATGTAGCCATTACAGGCAATACCATTCCCATGGTCTTACTAAGTAGTTCGGATAGTCAGCATGCATGACACATGTAGTCTGACAGGTAGTGGTAACCAATCAGACAAGATCCATTAGCTAGCGGTTCTGGGGTATCAGGGTACCAAGGGTCCCTCTGCTCATGTATATAAGCCAGAGCTCTGAGACGCGTAAGTCCCCCAGACTTATTCTCATCTCTGCTATGCCAATCCATTCAGTGTTACCAGTGCTTACTTGCAAAGCATTGCTTGACCTTGATCATTGCTTGTGTTCTTCCTTACCTCGACAAGTATCAGTAAGTGTTTGATCACTGAGTCATAGGCTTAGTTGGTGCTCTGCATTCTAAGTTTGTGATAATTTGGTAGAACAATCAGCAGAAGGAACACAGAACAAAGAATAGTGGTCCAAATTTGTCTCTCCAGAATTTCATCAATATGAAGATGTGTTCTCAAAGAAGAGCTCAGAAAGAATGCTGATGTGTAAGCCCTACAATCATGCAATTGATCTCGACCCAGACGTGGCATTCCTGAGACTGGGCAAAGTTTACCCTATGTCTTTACAAGAGAAAAACTCACTTGACAAATGGATTGATGGTGAGTTGGTCAAAGGCTATATTTGACCATCCAAATCCCCTTATGCAGCCCTGGTATTCTTTATAAAGAAGAAAGATGGTTCTCCTAGACTAGTTCAAGACTACAGGGTTTTAAATGGCATTACTAAGAAGAACAAATTCCCTCTCCCATGAATCAATGATCTTATTGACAGACTCTCAAGAGCTAGCCTTTTCACGATGCTGGATCTGAGATGGGGATACAACAATGTATGCCTTCACAAAGGAGATGAGGAAAAGGCAGCATTTATCATCCACCGAGGGTTATTTGAATCAACTGTTATGTACTTCAGATTCTGTAATGCCCCTAGCACCTTCCAAGCAATGATGAATGACGTATTAGGTAACCTCATTCACATAGAAAAGGTGGCAGTCTACATAGATGACATCATCATCTTCACAGATAACCAAGAAGAACACATGCGCCTAACCCAGAAAGTCCTCCAACACCTCTGAGACAATGACCTAATTGTGAAACCAAAAAAGTGTCACTTTGCGACAACTTTTGTTAAGTTTTTTGGGCTCATAATCTCAAGAGGATCAATACAGATGGATTCTGAAAAGATAGATGGTGTTCTCAAATGGCCAATATTCACCAAGGTAAAGCAAATACAGGCATTTCTTAGTTTGGCAAATTTCTATCGGTGATTCATCAAGGATTTCGGCTCGATGACCTGACCCTTGACTCTGCTAATGTGTAAAGACGCTCCATGAAAATGGAAAAAATCTCAACAAAAGGCGTTTGAGGCTCTCAAGACTGCCTTCACTTCTGCACCTATTTTAGCCCTCCCCAATGCAACACATCCCTTTAGACTAAAGACGAATGCCTCAGACTTTGCAATGGGTGCAGTCCTTGAACAGTTGGGAGAAGATGAACTCTGGCACCCTGTCACATATTACTCTAAATTACTCAATGAACATGAGCGAAATTATGAAATATATGATAAGGAGATGCTAGCCATTATTCAGACATTGACAGAATATCAGCAGTACTTCAAAGAACATCCTCACCCAGTTGAGATATGGTCAGATCACCTCAGCCTTACCTATTTTTGCCAAGCTCAAACACTGACCAGGCGATAAGCCCGCTGATCACTTTACCTTACACATTTCAATTTTATTCTCCATCACTGCCCTGAAAAGATGATAATGCATTGATATGCTCAACTGCTTCCTGACTGCCAGCTACCTCCTATCCTGTAGAGGAAGGCAGATCAGAGCTGTCCATCTCCATTCACCTTAGGCCACAGTTGCAGGAACTTCAGCTGATAACACTTGAGGGGTGGCTGTGAGTCATTTGATGTTGTGCTTGAAATGGAGTGGTGAGCAGTAATTCAGACTAGGGGAGTGTCTCCGACTCTGGATGAGTCGAGAAGAGGATGAGTTGTGTGGGATGGCTAGGAGGGCAGCGAGTGCCTCTACTGAATGGGTTGTCGAGGGTTGAGGATCGAGCAGTGACATGAGTCTTTTGCTGACTAATCCTGTGGCTTGGGTGCTATAGGCAGCTCTCCCCAGCACTACAGAGGGGGGTTTGGTGCTTCCTAGGTCTTTGGGACATTTATGCAGGGCTCCCCAGCATTACAGACGAGATCTGGATGCTTGCTAAGGCTACGGAGTTCGATGGGGATGGAGATCTGAGTTGCTAGAGCTCATGACAGGTGGCATGAGAGGAAAATGTGGTAACTTGACTTTACTGGGTGCTTCCTGAGTCGAGCTATGGGTCACTGTGAGGAGTGCTACCCCATGCAGTGTTGAGAGCTAACTAGATGTGATACGAAGATGTAGATGAGCGAGACTAAATAGAGCATGCTGCCCTATCGAGATGATGTGCATAGAACTGAACTCTGAAGGGTGAACTCCTTGTTATTTGTGGTAGGTACATCGGTTATTATATAGGTGTAAAGTAGTGCCTTCTAATGTAGCAGAAGACGTTTCCGATCCTTGTTCGCATTTCTGATCCTCTGAAACAGTTCCAAAACATTCCCTGCCTCCTCCTCCTCATTGTTTGCAGTCGGAGAACCAGAAGATAAGGGCCCTCAATGATTTGCTGCCCTGCGCTTCTCTCGCTTAGAATGAACCTTCGTGTCAATTTGGCCAAACCTGTCCTGCTCCGTCTCTTCTCCTTTGTCCTTGTAATTGGCCATGCTAACACATGGGTCCTTGCTCATTTCTGAGCCTCATGTATGACCCTTTTTGTGATATGGTGCTGCTGCCATGGGTTCTTCAGAGTTGGAGCCCTTGTGCTGTTCCATCTGGACTGTTCCGCTTGACAGATATGCATTATCAAGTCACATGGCCCTCAGCTGCTCTTGCAGAAGGGTTTCTGAGCACAGAATGTTTCAGTGCATATCATCTCCCCTGTTCTGAAACCTGGACCATCCTCGATCCATCATCTTCATATATCTAGCTTGTCTCTTCCTGCCATTCGTCCATGTTCAAGTCCTCCACCATGTCTTCTTCTCCTCCCCCTGGCATTTTCTCTTCTGGATGTGCCTGCACTTGATGCTCCCGAGGAGGTATGGCATCACTGGGTAGATGTGTTTGTGCTTACTTCGGTGAGTCAGAGACCTGTGTGTGGGTGACACATGGCTGATCTTCCACATAGACTGAGCTTCATGTTTGTTCTCCTTCTATCACCACTTTAGTTCTTGGCATCATGGCCATCATGCTTGATTGGCTCATGTTTTACTCCTGACCTGAATTTGACCTATGGCTTGCTGCTGTGATTGACCATACTGATCTCACAGCCTTTCACTCGGCCTCCATCAATGCTGGTCCCCTGTGACCTCCTACGAAATTGCATGCCAAAATAATGGAGATAGTCAAGGTGATGGACTGGGAAATGCTTAGTAGAGCACCCCAGGCCCATGTTACTGCATGTGACTCACTTCTGATGGGGTGCGTGGAGGATCTCGTGGTGAATCGTTATGATATGAAGTTCCTCAGGCACGTATGCTCCATCACCTTCTAATGGATGCATCTTGATCAAGGCCATGTGGCCATGGCTGCCACTGCTGTGGCTGCCAAGCCAATTCATGTGTCGAGCATTTCTGCTTCATCTGTCGAGCTCACCAAGTGAGAGTTCAGTGAGACTCTCACTGCCATTCATGCTACCTCAGTTTCTCATGTGCAATCCATGATGGGTTCTTCAGTGGGGTCTCCTGAGCCTCCTGCTCCTGCTACGTCATCCAGCAAGGTGCCTGCCATGCATTCTAAGGCCATTACCCTCTGAGGTTCTCCGAGAGTACCTGGATATCATTCGCAACACTTCTGGGGTGCTAAAGCAAGTGCTTGTCGATTATGGCAAGCCTTGGCCTTCTGCCAAGGTATGTCCGTGTTATTCAGTCGGGTACCTGCACTTACTGACTCTTCACTCCTAGTGTTCATGCTGTACCTCTGTGGAAGAATGTCTCATTGTCCCCGTTACTCAGAACACCATTTTCTCACGTGTTTGCATTCACTGCGACCTTGATCACAATTCATGCTCTCTTCTTGAGCCCACTCCTGCACATATGTCTGCTCATTATCTTGCTCATTTTCTTAACTTAGTAGGACCTCCGTCTGCTAGTTCTGACAAATGCGCATGCAGAAATGGAGCACATCTTCCACCATATCCAGAATGTTCGACTGGACCAAGTCTTTCTGATGGAAGTTTTTGAGCGTGAATGCTTCCTCTTGATCACTGAGATTAATCAGTTGGGACTCCAACTGAAGGCTGTGGAGGGATGGTTTGATGAGCCGAGCAAGTATCCATCAGTCTAAATCTGCGTCGTCCATCCTCTGTATGATAGCCCGAGTGGTTGGCACTGTCTTTGTAATGCGTACTCATTTTCCTTGCACCAAATGAAACAATTGACTCATTCTCTGAGCTTCTCGTGTGTCTCAGTTCCACTTTGCTGTCTTCTGGATAGGGTGCCTGCCTATTGTGCTGCACTAGTTGGACTTTCACAAAGTCGGACTTTGATACCGCATGGTCAATGTTCAGTTTGCCATTAGTTTTAAGACGTGCCTATTGATTCAACTTGATGCATCGATTCTTGTCCCCTCTACTGCTGGTGTGGCATCTAATGACTTGCCTTTACCTTTGCCTCACTTCTCTTCACTGCTCCTGGATGTGTCTGTACCTGTGGCTCCTCCTTTATCGCAAATGCTGTTGCAACCCATCAGTGCACCGCCAGTATGTTTCCTTTGCTCATTTCTTATATGTAGCAGCTGGGCTGACCCAGTCTTTGGCCTTGCAGTCTCTAACAAAAACTTCTCTGCAGGTCACCACCATGTGTCTTGATCTTTATGAGGGATGAGAGGACCTCAAGGTGGCCTGGACTCTGGGTGATGAGGGTGCAATAGAGATGGCTGCCAAGGTGTTCACATCCTATTTGGTGAGCTGCCACCTCAAGCTTGTTTTCTTTGATTCATTCTAACCCTCCCTTCTTCAGCATGCTCTCCATGATATCCTGAAGAACCATGCACATTCACATCAAGAACTTCCACAAAAAGGCTCATACCTTGCTGGACCCTATTGTGCATCCCTCCTGGCTAGCCTGGTGTGAAGAGCTGTTGTCTCCGGGACAAGCTGCTGCTCTCTCTGGGTTTAAGGTGCATGCTTTCTTCTTTTTTAGCTTATCGCTTCTAAGAGGCCACACAGGAACTGAGTCCTTCACTGCCCTTTGTCACGTCAGCTTCTGCGCTCATGGAACACAATATTATCAAGATTTCTGAGACTCTGACGGCTCCCTCTCCACTTGTTCTACCTTCTGCCTCTCTTGCTCTGACTTTATGTGTTGCGGCACCCTCTGGCACCGAGGTCCTTTCCTCTGTAACCTTAGCATCTTCTTCATCTCAATTCAGATCCAGCGCTGACAATGTGCTGTTCCTTTCCAGCATGCCCAGCACTCCCGCTATGAAGGTCGATGCTGAAGGAGAACCTGAGAATGAAGAGTCTGTGCACAACTCTGACCAGGATGAGCTGGCCAATGAGGAGGCCTCCGATGAGTCTTTATCCACCATGTCCACCACGACTGCTTCCAGGCAAGGGTGGGGCCACCGAGCTAATGTTGCCAAGATCATCCTTGACCCACATATGCATCTTCCACTTCACACTTTCTGTGATCATTCTAAGTCACCCCAATATATGCCTTCATGGTGCAAGCCTACTGTCACAGATTTTTGCCATGAAGTCTGCACGTGACTTTTCTCATGCCACAGATCACGTGCTTCACCAATATCCCATGCCACTCAGCCACAGACGTAACGCATAGGGATCAGGTGATAGTCTACATCACATGTTATGGTCCAGACCCGTGGATGATATGGTCGGACCTGTCTATTCCAG